CATTATAAAATGATATCAATTTTTCTGAAACACTCTATATAGATAGATAGATCCCCTCCTGACACCAGTTATAAATGCGTATATGGTAGCACAAGAGAAAAAAAATGAAACAAGTACTACCAGTAAAGAAAAATAAAAGAATACAAAAAATGTTAAGATAAATTCTTTGTATTGCTGAAATAGAGGATCAAGGCAGAATGTCTCTTGGTGGACGAGGGAAGCAACTTAATGGATGGAGTTGATATGTGTGTGTTGGGTCAAATGACTGGATCAATGGTACTGATGGTGACATTTTGCTTTCTCGGTGCAACTGACAACAGTGTCATGAGTGTCATTCTTAAAAGCAAACAGGGTAGACCATGACTCAGCATTTTCATCATGTCTTTTGCTTTAGTGATAATGTTTATTATTGGCTACATTTATATTGTATTCTATATTTCATTTTCGGGTGTCGGGGAGATTTGTTTTGTGAGTCGGATATGATTCTCAGAGCTCCTGCGCATATATCGACTTTTTTATTTTTATTATTGCTTTCTTAATTTTCACATCTGACAGGTTTTCATATAGAGTAAATCAGAAAGATGTCTAGTTTTAGATATATATGAACAAAGATAGATAGATAGATAGATAGATAGATAGATAGATAGATAGATAGAAAATGTTGAATTAAAATCACCAATTAATTACTTAAAAATTACTGTTTATATTTTGGATATATAAGTCTATTTCAGCAGATATAGACATCAAAAGTCCCAATGAGAAATGTGCATATCATAAAAGAGATAATTGAGTTCATCCTTGCTGCATAGATCTCCATAGCTAAACCCAGCAAAAGGGAGGTATTGCATAATAAAAGAGAATACAGGTTTGATCCATGATGGCAGGTACAGTCATACTTTTCTGTTTTCTAGACTGGTTTAAGAAATGGGTATCAGTATGCACTAAAATTAAGTTTATAGTCATTTTTTTTTAATTGAATTCACTCCATTTAAGGAAGTAAAGCCACTAAGATACAAGTGGTTACAGGATTTGAAAGAATTAGAAATCTGAAACATTATTAAGGATTGACAACAAGAGAAGAGCAACCAGGAAGACAGTAGATGATGATTGACATTGCAATTAAATTTTTGAAGATCAAAGTTGGCTGGAAAGCATGGAGCCGGAAGAGGGTTCAACAAGTGAGAAGTGTGAAAAAAGAAACAATTGGTATAGAACTTATGGTTACATCTAGCCAATTCAACTGTAAATTGATGAGACTTTGTTGCTAATCTAGTACTGTGATTAAATTCATAAAGTCTAAGTACCATAGAGGAAAGTTCATCAGAAAAATTTCCATGAAAGTATTTATAAAAAAAGGTACAAGGAAGCTACATTACAGTGGTGGCAAAGTGACTGAAGCCAATATGCCAGGTGTGGACTAATAACATTGTAGATTCTTCTTCCCAATGATGCCATATGATGGGATCACCTCTCCAAGTCACTAAGTTACCTACCCAATAAATCGACAATTGCCAGATTTGAAACTGGGTCTCATGGTTGAAAATCAAATGTTCTAATCACTCAGCTATGTGCCCATATCTAAATGTATGCGTGTTCATATGACTGTCTCTGCTAACTATTATCATGGGAGAGTGGTTTGCTATTGTGCTCACTTAGCCACTGTTCTTTGATAATGATCATTGCATTCCTCAGACAAGATGTTTTCTGTCAAGATATCTGGTACAGAGTGGAGTGATGTGGATACAAATACCTGTGCCAAAAGTATTTGTGCTAATTGAACATAGGCAGACTTAACAGAAATTCAAATTATTTGGCACTTCCATTCTCTCTACTAATAAATTCTTCCTTGCCTCTCTTTCACTTTCACACACACACACTAATAAACGAATATATATATATATATATATATATATGTGTGTGTGTGTGTGTGTGTGTGTAATTTCATTTGCGGAGCCCATTTTGTTTTTTAAGCATTTCCCCCCAAGCAAGGCAGGAGTGCCACTAGCATGCAAGGGGTTACAGAGAGTGAGAACTAGAGTAAAGAAGCATGTTTGAGGAAAGGATAAAGAGAAGTATGGGCAACAAGATCAAGAAGATGTTGATTGACATTACATTTGAATATTTAAAGATTGTAGCTATCAGAAAAGAAAGTAAGAGGAAGGAAGTTCCACAGACAGGAAGTACAAGATAAGAAGCTGTTGGGGTAGAAGAGACAGATACATTTAACTGTTTCGGCAGTGAAAGGGTGGGAACGAGATATCAACCTTGTAGCACACTTAAATTCATGCAGTTTCAGAACCAGCAAAAGTAGCTCGTTGGAGCAGTTGCCATGAAAATACTTGTAGAAAAGACAGGGGGAAGCCATGGCATGTCTGTGAGAAAGTGACTGTAGTCAAGATGCCAGATCTAGACCCATCACATTGCATATCTGTCTCTGGATCCTGTCAAGGAACTTTAGATGAACAGTGGGGGTACCAGAGCATATATGGCTGCAGTATTCCATGTAAGGATGAATAGTTGATTTATTGATTTGAAGGATGAACTCAGGTGAGAAAAAACTTTCTGACATGCCACAGAGAACCAACTTTCCTCGCAGTAGATGAAGCTATTGCTTCAATGTCTTTGTTCCACCTCAGGTCAGTGGATAGCATGAGACCAAGCTGGTGTGTGCGTATGATAAAAATATAGTTTTAAGCTATGCTATATTTATGGGTAAAAGTGCTCAAGATCAGGGATATATGATATATAACTACAAAAGTGGACATTGAGGTCAATACTGAAAATATTTGGTGATAGACAAGGCAAAAAATCAGATTATTTATTAGGGATTCTGCAATCACAGAACTGGAAGTATTAATAAACACATTCAAACTTTCATACTGCTCTCAATTGCCATGTAAGAATGCTTGAGACACTTTATATTAAGTCTAAGCAGCCTTCCCTTTGTAAGTAGATAAAATAGTTGATGGGTCTAAATGGAATTTTTCTGTGATTTATATTGCTTATTCTCTGGTAGTATTTTTTCCTCTTTTTAGTTGTTGTACACATATTTATGTTTTGTCCTTGATTCAGCTTTAAACAGCAAGAAGTGATAACCAGTTAATCCATTTTTGTTTCCCTTTGTGTTAAAGTGAGTAATAATATTTTTTATCATTGCACTTACTGCTATATGTTTTAATATATTTTTCTATATTAATATATACTTTTAAAATGTCTCTTTTTAAAGGCATCATATATTTTTGTACTCTACACAGATTATATATGTATGAATATGCATTATCATTTGAATCCCATATATGACAAACTAGAATTATGATACACTTACATATATAAAACAATATTTACACTTTATTCAGTTAGGCATGGAATCCGTTAATTTCTTGGAGCTTTGAAAGGCTGCATCATCTCAGCTTGAATTCAGAATGCCATAAATTATACTAAAGTTGTTTAACAAGTCAAATGCATATGAATCCTGATTAACCAATGAAAATCAAACAAAATAAAAATACAAAAATTTCATTTTTCTTTTATCTCCCTATGACATTCTGTAGGATATATATATATATATATATATATATATATATATATATATATATATATATATAGTGTATTGGGGCAGGAGATTATTATTTAAACATATATTGTTAAATAAAACAGACAATGAATGTCTATTATGTCTGATCATGAGCTGTTCTAATGTTCGTATATTTGCTTTAATTTCAAGTGAAAATAAAGACAAAAATTGTCCAACATTTGGATATTTTTTTATTAAGTTGGTCCTTGATCTAAGCTTTCGGCTTACATGAGCCATCTTCAGAGTGGTTATACAAACATTTTAACAAAGATATTCACCATCAAAGATAATATTTTGTTATGCTGACATAGATGATTGCTATGCAATGATAATGGTTGGAGAATAGCAGATGCAGTTCGTAAGTTCAAGAAGCAGTTCTATGATGTCATACCACATGAGAAGCTGAAATATTAACAACAGAACCATATGCTTAGATGCAATGTAATGTGTTGTGACTAGTTTGAAATGTAATTTTGCTGAGTTTAGGTTGCTTTGTTTTAATGTAGATGGCCTCCAATATCTAAAGGTCCTTTTTACTGTGTGTATATGTGAGTATTGTTGCGTTATCAACTAATATCTATCTAATATTATGTACATGGCTATGTTTTTCTAAGAAATGTTGTTTAATAGAACTAAGATCAGAAAGGTGACAGGTAAGTCTACGGAAGAGCATGGTTGTAGCAAAACTAATATATGAAATACTTATTTTCCCCACTGTATACTTACATATGCTCTATCTCTGATATTGAGTCATAAATGTAGCATACCTTAAAACTATTTTATCATATATATATATATATATATATATATATATATATATATATATATATATAATTATATGTTAATGTAATGTTTCATTAATCCATTGGTCAAACATTGATGTTACAATAAGCAAAAATGTAGCCTTTCATCATTCCCAACAGATATAAATCCAAATCTCTCAAGTAGTCTTCTGAATACTGACAAACTTTTGGGGCTAAAACTACTCATCATAAGTAGATATCTTTAAAGAACAACTGTAGTGGATTTGCTTAAATGAATAAAAGCAAATTTACTTCAATGGTATTATGTAGATTTCTGTGTTATTTTAGTAAATGAAGGATTCAGTGCAGTCATCAAAAGAACACATGCTGTTTTGTTGGTTTTTTATTGGTTGTTTTTTATGTTTTATTAACCTTTAGTAGATTATTTAAAGCCTAAACATTTTTGGATTATAAGATTATTTTGTTTTTGCAAGTGAATATTTTATTAACAATATTTGTAGAGAATAATGATTTTCAGATAAAATTTCTACTATTTATGAAGTGGAGAAAGAGTTGATTCATAGGATATTTGTGCGTGAGTGAATGTAATGAGCCAGACTATAATTTGAACAACTCGGCTCTTATCCAAGCTGTTATCCATTTACACCAAGTGCACATCCAAGCTTACAGCAGCTGGTATCCCAAACGGTCACCCTGCTAGACACTGAACAGGATCAGCATTGCTTAACTTCAGTGATCAGATGGGAACCGGTGTCTCAACATGATATGGCCGTAAGCTAACATTTTTTAGATGTGAGTAACAATCTTAATCCATTGGTCACCAACCTTTCATAAGTGATTATAGATGAGAGAATACACCTGTTGCAAAAGTAGTAATATGTAATTTTTATGTCTAACAAGGGAAACTATTTATAGTATATTGGTTACCAAAGTAGGTATTAGCATACTTGGTGGAGGTAACATGTACTTTACCACCCCGCATGTGCATAAATGTTACTATACATCTGATATAATAATACTATATATATCTCAAATTTGAGATATGGAAAAAATAAGTGAAACAGGGTCTTACTTGTAAGTTAACTTGGTCATACATTGCATCAGCAATGTAGCCTCAGCCATTAACAGTGAGAGAAAATGAGGGTTAGAATAAATGTGTTGTCATTTTGAGAAATTGACACCAACAGGGTATATCGAAGTCAAGAGAGATAGGCGAAGACAGTGAGTGACTTTTCTGATGAGCTTGTGTGAACAGATGGTGGAAGGTGGGTGAAAGCTTTAGAAAAGGGGAGAAAGCTACTAAGAGGGGCATGAGATAGGAAGTTGTGGAGTCCATGGTCGCTTATGTCATGAAGGGATGTGGCACATAGAAGAAGTTAGGCAATTCATATTTCATGCCTCTAGCCAGGCTGTCAGATGATGCATTTATAGCAGAGTCAAGAGTACATTATTAAGTTTTGTAATGCTACATGGGTATTTGTTGGTGAGGAGAGAGAAACTGAATTTAACCCTGTCCCTTCTCTCGATCAGAACTTTTCACTAAGCATAAGAAGGTTTGAAAACTGGGACCTTAAAAAGAATTTCGAAACTTTTTATAATAAGAAATACTAGATTCTAATAAATGATGATATTTTGTAACAGGGTTGCTACTAATATATATTCTGAATATATTCTTCATTCTTCTCTAACTGTTGGAAAAGTGGCAGTGACAGTGGACAGCCACTATTACCAACCTTTTCTAAACGTAATTCTTACTTGGAGATCTTTTGAAAGGAAAGTTGTTTGTTTTATAACACTTACTGTAAGACAACAAAATATAAATCTGTTACCATGTTTTCTTGTGCATAATATGAGAACTCTTGAATGAAAATTAAAGGCAAAAAGTCGGTCATATTAAACGTATGTACACATTTTCAGAAACTTTTACTCATTATAAAACCCTCTTATTTGAAACAGCAAGATTGTAAATACACACAGCACAATAGATAATAAAACACTAAGTAGGCAGGTGTTGATAACAATTGTTTACAAAAGGTATTTGATATGTCAGCAATATTTGTTTCTTTCTTCACTCTTAATCAAAGACAATGTTTTTTTTATTTTCATATTTTTTTTAATATATAGAAATACTAGCAGCATGTCCCGGCGTTGCCCGTGCTTGATTAAAAAATCGTACAACTCATACAGCAATCGCTATCACTTGACTTAAAATATTTTTGCCCTTCCTTGCCTTTAAAGGAGTGCCCTTTGTCGTGCTGATGTTGCTACATGCCTTACTTCTTGCCTATCTCACACTGCAAATTTTTTCTAAGCTCTATACTAAACATTAAATCTGTTATGAAAAAGAACTAAACAAAATGAACACAAAACAATCAGCTTTAAAAAAGGACTCGTAACTGGAAAAGCCAAATGAAAAAAGAATGTTAACAACAAATACTTTTTCACACCCAACCCAGTTCTGCGGAATCAGAATCAACGTTGAGTTTAAGCAAGCAAATGAGCCAATTGGAGTAAAGTGCCATGCAGATTTAAATTTTTCCCACTTGTGACGAATGCAGCTATCGATTATTTTTGCATGCTAGTTAACATTCGTGTCAGTCAGCTGTTGTCTCTCACACTGGCCACTAGAATCTTCCTTCCTATTCGTGGCAGCCAGCTATAGCCTCCACTCTGGCCAGTAGAAAATGGCCATAAACTACATGAAAACTGCCGTAGAAGCATGAAAAAATCGATTATTTCCACTATCGATGGGAATTGGGAAATGCAAAGTCGATCTTGGCCTTCCTGCTAACTTGGAGCATGTGCATGTAAATTTTGGTGCAAATCCATCGAAAATTGCGGCCGTGCATTCATTACACACACACACACACACACACACACACACACACACACACCCTGCCTTTTATAGATAGAGATAATAAAGTCATATCAAATAGAAAAGTATGATAAATTAATTAACACCTTAAAATGTATTACTGGGTATGTCTAGTTAGCACCTTTCCTTGAAAAGTAGTTTTGAAACAGAAATTAGAAGAAACACATAATTTCTATTCTTTAATATTGTGAAAAACTAAATATTTTAGTGTAATATATGGACAAAATTGATATTTTAATGCATAATAGGGTACAAGTTTTCAAAACAGATCTAAACAGGGATGCCTGTACCATGGAGCCATATTATACTCAAGAATGTAATTTATTCCATTTTTAGCTGCAGATACATGGGGTCATATTATACTCAAGTCATGTTATACACAAGAAAATAGATAATGGAGAATTATTATATTTTCATAGTAAGTCAGATGTTGGAGTTGAATTAAATGAGTGATGAAATCCCATAAGAACTTTTTTCTTTGGGGATCCACAAAGGACAAAGAATATTTTCACAAATCCCATGCCATTGACACCTTGATGCTTTCTAGAAAAAATGAATGATAATGTCAATTTTGGAGAAGAAATACATATGCTCACAGATACGATTCTGAAAATCCCCCAGGTCACTATAAAACGTGCAATTAACAAGCTGAGTTCAATCTCTGACTAAATCTGTCACGTTTGTAGGGGAGTAAATAATTATAAGCCCCGATCATTTATATACAAAAATGCACATAATAATGAGTAACAGCAAGATGTGGAAAACAACAAAACAAATATTATTTATTATCTGGTTGTTATATAGTGTTGGAGACACAAGAGACAGTAATACTGAATAAAATGGTGAGTTTAGGATCAAATGTAGATCCAATATGAATTAGAATCAGAATGATGATAAAGAATAAGTAAAGTGTATACAGCTTTTCTCATAAGTTTTTTTTTAGAGATGTGTGTAATGAGTGTTCATATAATTTAGTTGGAAACTACAAAAAGTATCTTATCTCGAGTTTTGTTGAGTGCTAAGAGATAAATGTTACTATTATGGCATGAAAACAGAAAAGGAGCCAAAATTTTCATTGACACACATGTTGACAGCCTGTCCGTGTCGACTGACTGTCCAATAGTGAGAATGTCACAGGTTTGTTGTGTAGAGGAGAAAAATGGGGTCGATTCTCATTGGTTTATAATTATTTTTGATACTATAATTAATTTTCATTTATGTATATCTTTATGGACATGGCACATTCATTTTCACACAAATGTCTTTGGGAGAGGCATGAATCCAATCCTTTTTCTCTTTAGCTATGGGTTAAATCACAGGGTAGACCAAGCATTTTAGCCTTGAGTGGCAACCAGTTTAGGAGAAGGAAAGCTCTGAATGAAAAAAACAACCTGAAAAAGGGTTGTCTCTATCAGGCTAACTTGCCTTAGACACATTCACTAATCCTACAGCTGCATGTGGAACACCATGATTGATGAAATTTTACTTAAATTTACAAGTGGTCAAAAATATATATAAAACTTCCTTTCCTGCCCTGGAAAAATGGTAGTGACAGTGAACAGCAATTGTTACTGATCTTTTCTAAAAGTAATTCTTACTTGGAGATCAAAAGAAAAGGAATGTTGTGAGTTTTATAACAAAAGTGATGAGAAACTAGAGAAAGCTTTTAATTCCAACACAATAAAATATAAGTTTATCATATCTTCTTCTATGTGCTGTGTCCTTTCAGGACATTGGCGATCATTGCTCTCCACAATTTCCTGTCCTTTGTAGCTCTTAATAAGTTTTGTCTTTTTATTATCTCTCTTAAACAATGTTCTGCCATCTATTTACACAAATTTGCTAGGTAGGTTGTGCATTGTTTTCCTTTGTCTCTTTTGTCTTCAATCTGGCCTGTGAGTATCAAATTTTCCTAACCCCCTTTCCTCATTATGTTCCCTAGAAATTTCAACTTTCTCTTCCTGATATTAAGTATAAGAATCCTTTTTGTTTACATTTTCTTTAAAACTAAATCATTACTCACATGTTTGGTTCATGGTATTCTCAGCATCCTTCTGTGGAACCACATTTCTATTACTTCAATTCTCTTCTTTATTTGTAAGAAGCAAACAATATCTGAATAGATTTGAAGATTTTTAGAACTAATCAATTAAGTATTAACATGACTCACTTTTCAGCTATGGAATGTTATTGCTCTTTGCCTCCAAATTCCAAATTGTCCCCAAAATATATCAATTCTACGGTACATTTGGAATCACTCATCTAACAGGCTATGGGTCAAGATCCTGCTTGCTACTTGGCAGTAATGGAAGTGAGTATGAGTTATGGAAAGTTAAATTCTTGGAATATATGAGAATTCAAAAATAACATGAATTTGTTTTATCAGTGAAAGGTCATACGGATGATGAAAAATGGAGAGTAAAAAAATAGGGCCAAAGTTTTTACAGAACTGGTTCAATGTCTAGACCAACATTTCTTAATTAATTACCTGGGCACACTAATGCACCATTAAACATATCCATGTGCATCCCAAGTTAACAGAAGAGCAATTTATGAATTATTTTTATATTTAAAAAATCTTTATTTTTAAAAAGGTAGAGATACCAAGCATATGGCTTTCATGTCTAAGTCAACTGATGTTTCAACTGATGATGTTAGCTTATTGTTAACAGAGGAAGAGGAACTAGTCACTATATCTGCTGATTGTAGCTTACAAATCAAGCATAGGTGTCCATTGACCAATCTGGAATTTCCATTCAAGAAGAATATCCTTCAATAGTTAGTAAAACATTGGATGTTTTATTGCAATTTTCCACATCATAACTCTGTGAATTAGGATTTAATGCACTTACCTACATTAAATGCAAAAAATATTAAATGCATTGATGAGGAACTGAGAT